TTGTGTACAGCAGCAGACCCTGAGTTAGTGGATTACTTACTGTTAACACTGCAGCACACGGAGCTGCCGCTGCTGCCGCGGGGCCCCCATCGTCCCCTGGTAGTGAAGGATATGCTGGCGCTGCGGCACTCGCAGCTGCAGTGTCTGCATGCGCTCCGACAGAAAAAAGTAAGCTGCAGCAGCAGCTGCAGCAGCAGCAGCAGCAGCAGCAGCAGCAGCAGCAGTGGCAGCAGCAGCAGTGGCAGCACAGGGATGATCGAGCTGCAACTGAAAAAGAAGAGAAAATTTAATGTAGCAGCAACAAAAGCAACAGATTATGTACTGCTGCTGCTGCTGCTGCTGCTGCTGCTGCTGCTGCTGCAGTATTGCTGCTGCTGGTGATAGACAGAGAGGACAATGCAGTGTTTGGTGTTTTGTTTGTTTGTTATTTTTTTATCCTTTTGTTGTATATTTGTTCACTTATTTTAAATGAATTATTTTTTTTTGTTTACTTTAATTATATTATTATATTTATTTTTCTTTGTGTGCTGCGGTGTATATACAGGAGGGCCCCAGAGAAGAAGCAGAGAGACCTGGGGGGCCCCCAGACCCTGATAGAGAGGAGCTATCAGATGCTTCATCAGCAGAAGAAACACAGCGTGGCTCAGCATCGCAGCCAGCTAGCCAGCTAGCTGGACAGCTAGCTGACTTTTCTAGGGCTACAATGGGGGCCTCAGGGGTACAGCTAGCTGCTACAATGTATGGGGGGGCCCCCCCCATGATGCTGCCTGCTGATAGTATGATGCAGACGCGGAGGCTGCTGACGCCTGCTGTGCTGCCTGGGGTCCGGCCCCTCTGGCCTGGGGTTAATGTACTAGCGGGGCACTATGCACACGTGGGGGCCCCCCAGCTCCACGCTGCTGTTCCTCTCCCCTATGGTATGTCGGTGCCGACGAGGCCCCTACAAGGGGTACCCCTTGTGCGGCAGCCGCTGCATGTATGGCGGGTCCCGGAGGCTTCTGCTCGATCGTTTCAACCTAAGAAAAAAACACGATGATTTCAACAAACTATTTACATGTTTTTAATGTTTTTTATTGGGATATTGTATGCTGTGTTGCTGCTGCTGCTGCTGCTGCTGCTGCTGTGCTGGGCTGCTTACTTAGTCGTAGCAGTTTCACTCACTCACTGACACTGCCGCAGTATACTTCAGAAAAAGTTTAATGGGGTTCTTTGCTCTGGTTGTTTTTTTTTTGTTTTTTGTTTTTTTTTTTTGTTTTTTTTTTT